TTATAAATTGTGAACTATTGAATGGGATGGTGCCAGACTATTTATTCACTATAGCCTCACTCTCATTTTTATTTAAATGTGGCTTAAACCTGGTATGTTTAATCACAAACTTTACATTATTCATCAGAGCAGACTGGTATTTATTTGTTACTTCTGAATCATTGCTTTCATTTCTCTACACAAGTTCCAAAAATGGAAGATTTTACCTCACTCTCAATCCAATATGGCCGACTCGTGATTAATGCCCATGGGGGGGGGGGGCGCAGTTGCACACTCTTGACGTCTTTTACGCAAAACTTGTGTTGTCATTCTGTCGTCTAAGAACAATAAAAATATGAGCACTGTGGACCTGTTGCATGGGCTTAGTACCCAGACTAGGCCTACTATAAGGGCCGGAGATGATGGTTTCGATCGCTCCCAAATGGTTACAATCAGGCCACCCACTCTGTGGGCGCCGGTACCTAGTCAGCCACGTTCCCTTCCACTTCGTCCGGAACGGAGATGAAAAACAGAACCGAAAAGCCTATTTTGTTCCTGCCCATTTTATTTTGAAAGGCATCACCCTCTCTATACACGGAGCGCCCCTGACCATGATATAGCCATTAAACAGTCTTATCCGTCTAGGAAGTGCGAATGTGGGTCAACGTCTTTTGAAACATGTTTTCATTCATCATTTTCGTTAATCACGCCCACAAAATAAACTCTTGATTCTCGTACTCTCGGTTGTTGTGGGCGCTGATGGAATATGTCTAGTAAATATATATTGGGAGGAGTTTCGTTGCAAATCCTGGATACACTCGGTCATTGACTTGCACTTTACCTTTTAGTCTTTCCCATACAGGCACTAAACAACCCTTCCATTATACAGCATAGGCCTACTTTCATTTAAAGTGATCTTTTACGCACAAAGGTATGTAATTAATTTCAGCTTGATAAATGTCTCAGCGTCCCGGAAAAGTCAGATTCAATTTGGATCGATTTCCGGAAGATGTTTAGGCCCAAACAGTTCTTATCTTCTCACATCATCTCCGAGGATGCCTTTCGTGCAGCGTTCGCTAGCCTTGTCGACAGAGCGTATATTTCAAAGAGGAAATCGTTCCTTTCCTGAAAACGGTAATTGTTCCATAAGGCGTCAAACGTTGACAATTGCCGTAACATTTCTGCTCGAGTTGAAGGCAAATCTGGGTTTTTTCGACGAAGATAACAGCAGTAGAACATAATCTGGTTTCCTTTTCCATTGAGCCGATCGAGTTTTAAGAACGAAACCTATAATGTGTTACCCTTTTTTAATTTCTCCTCCTATCCTATGAGGTTAAAAGTATCTCCTCAACTATTCAAGTGTTAGTGTCGCTCCCTTTTAAATCAATTTTATTTTTGGTGTTTTTTTTATTGTTGACCGAACACCAAAGTATTGACAGAGTTCGGCACAAGTATAGTTCATTTAGTTTCATCGTACTGCACGTTGTTTGCTATAGCCCCAATTTATTGCGCGCGCATGGTCACTCAACCGTGTTAAATACCTTCACCAAATTAAGCGTTCTTTTAAAAATTACTATTTTTATCATTTCTACTTCATATAAAGGGTAAACACAAAGTTTGGGACTATAGTTTCACCATACTGCCTGTTTCCCAAAATTTATTGGATGGACGCTCGACCGTGTTAAGCACTTTCTTCCAGTAAGTGTCCTAAATTGCAGTTTAATCTTTTCTATTTCACACTTCATACCACAGTTAGCATAAAGATTGGGAGTATCATATTAAATTTAGTTTCACCATACTGCCCGCATTTCCCCAATTTATTGCATGGGTGATGGACAGTGTTAAACTGGTTCTTCCATTAAGTGTTCTCAATATCAATTTCTATTTCACACTTCATATCTAAGAATTTGGAGGCTATAGTTAATTTAGTTTCACAATGCTTATTTGTATTGTTTATTTGTCCCCAATTCATTTTATGGCAAGGATGATCGGCCGCGTTTGAAGTCTTTCAATTGTAGTGTTCGCAATTTCAATTTCACAATTTCAGTATTTTGTAACGCATGACGAGGTCAGGAATCCAACTGTTAAATTGAATCACACCACGTCAATAACGCAGCAGTAATGCATAAAACTGTTCCTAAGTAGTTTTCCGTCCGAGAAAAACTATTAGTGATATATGTGTCCTTTCTCTATATATATGATATAATCAAAACAAAAATATCAAGCATTTAGAGAAATGGTAATTTGCACACTCAATGGATCGTTCTTGAATGTTGGACCCAGGAGATTTGAAACAGGTGCTTGAACTATTCATTCTTTCCCCTTGGACATGAGTTATGACCGCTGTGGCCAAGTACGTCGGTCCACTTGCCCCAGTCAGGGTTAGTTTGTTGCCATTTTTATGGTCATGGAACTTGAAGCCAATTGTCTACACTCTGTCTGCCATCCGATAAATAATTATGTTGCCCCCTTTTCCTCTAACTCAAGGACCTTTTTAGGTCAGTCTGGCGGCTCCGGTAATTGGTGTATATTGGTACAAGGTATTGAGGTGGGAAATTAAATAGGAGGGAAGATATACGATTTTGACCCCGTCTCCTCCCAACCTTCGAGGTTGAAAAATAGTCATGAGTTGACCGTTTCCCATCCCATGAAAAAGTGTTCCAGTTGATCAGCCGCATGTTCTACAATGCCGATGCGTTCAACATCACCCAATTTAACACATACTGATCCCCGTTATTTTAATTAAATGTATAACATTATTTTAGTGTAGGATTGAGAATGAATAGTGTGTAGAGTGTTCGAATTGATCAGCCGCAAGCTCGATAATGACAGATTGAGTTCAACACGACTTTTTTTTTTATTAGATATGTAGCGTAGGTAAATATTCTGTAAATTACATTAGTCTCATTTTGCTTTGTGGTCCCTTATAAACTGTAACGTTTGAAATTTGAGGCTTCTAAGGCAAAAGTTAACAATAATTATTATAAAAATAAGAATTGATTCTTAGTTCAGTTACCCCATAGTAACGACGCGATAAAGTTCCAATATGGCTGTCATCTATAAAAAAAAAAAAAAAAAAAAAAATTGGAACTAACTATAAAAACCATTTACCACGGAAAACGGGTGATTGTATCATATATTCATGATCTTATTAGGAGCCCTCCTGCCGTGCTTCAACACAGACCAGAGTCTGAAACACAGAGGGGGATTATGTGGTGACACGCCCCTCCCCTCTTAGTGCTAGTCCAAATGGGTGCATATGTTCCCCAACCCTTACCCTTACCCCTAACCGTAACCATATTTCCCTAACCCTAAGGATTTTGGGTAACATAGTTATTGGGGAACATCGGGTAGACCCCAGTCCAAATATGCGTCCTATATATTCCACCTACAACACAACGGTTCTTGTATTCTGCTGGACGTCATCGCACAGACGCCATCACTTCTGTACTGTTGTTACACTTGACCTCACTTAGTCTCGCCCCAAAATAGCAACAACGTGACTTCCACTCGTAAAGCCCGGGTAATACCGTGCAAGGCCCTGCCTTTATCTGACCACGGCAAGAAAGCATCTTCCGTGCCTCGTGACACCGGAGCGACGTGTCCAGTCTCCTTCCCCAATTATCCCCTCCTAAGAAAAGTAAATACAAGTTCCTCAATGCCACAGGATGTCGTGTATTCATGGGGCTTTAGCAATCATCTCTTCTCTTTGTAGTAATGTCATGGTCAACGACGCAACACAGGGGAAAAATGAACTTGGTGTAAGGCTCTCCCACGAAGGTTCATTCCACGCTAGACGCAAACCTGGGCCATTGCTAGTTATAGTGTCAACACCAGCTTTCGACAAATCAACGTCTAAGTGACATTTCTGCTTTTCATAGCTGAAGTATCCAAGTACACTCTGTGTCTTACGACCTTTACGCCCAACCCCCTCTCTAACGTTAGTCATTATTTCTTCATTTAGGTGTGTAAAATGCATATTATGAACAAATTGATACAATATTTCCCATTCTGTGGAATGGTCATTCATTGGTCGTTGTTATTTTTTTTGGGGGGGGGGGGAGCAATGAGTCCCCAGTGCTCAAGCGTAACAAAACCTTCAGTGTGCTAATCAGGCGAGAGCCGGCGATGAATCATTATGCAGACGGCTCCAGACTTGCAACGGTGACAGCGCCACCAACAGTTACAATTCTGCCATTCCCTGGACAAAACTAGTTCGACGCAAAATGTGTGGTTAAAATAAAAGTGTGGTTGTATGCACACTTTCCTGTGCGGAAATTTGGGGCACTCATAATTCCCTGTAAGCAGGATCGTGCAGCACTTATTTCGCATCGTCATGCCTTTTCTGTTATTCCCGTGTAATCTGGATCCTGCTTACAAGGAAAATGTTGCCTAAAATGTACGCGAAGGAAATGGTGCGTACATTTTGGGCACTATTTCCCTGTATAAGCAGGATCGTGCAGCACTTATTTCACGTCAAGTCGTATGATCATGGTAATTGTTAAGAGTTTGTGTATTTTACCCTCGTACTGCCTGATTCAACTTTGATGAATGAAATAACTGTATTGTGCATTGTGAGTTTATGCTGAACACCTTTCCGAAGGACATCCCTCCGTATTGGCTGTTGCAATAAATTAAAATTACTCATGGTCTGGATTTTCTCGTACTTTTGAAGTTTCCGTGACCTTTACACAGCTTTTTTCCTCAATTGATACGATTGTGATCCTCTGCCGACAATCGACAGGTAAAAATATACCCCGAGGGCAGGTCCCCTTTAGTCAAACTCGATGATAACCAAATAATGCAACTTTGCAAAGCTTGTGTGACGTGAAAATCTGTACTATTATGAGTTTTATAATTTCATTTGCTGCTTTTTGTTTCTCTGAATTCTTGGGTAGTTGCCACTGCGTGCTTGTGTGGGGATTGTCCCGAGTGAATGAATTCACGATGATCAAGTCCACACACAGAGCAGTCCAAGGTTTTCTGGGTTGCGGACCTTTAGTCAGTCAGTGGGCCCAGCATGCCGGGAAAGTATTGGTCGATGGACCCACAACGTCAGCGCTGAACTGGCAGTGACTGCGCCGAGTTGGTCGTGTATACCGTACATTATGCCGTGGCCAATAACTACACAATCAGTGATTTTGTGTGAAGTCACTGTTTGCCTCCGATCACTGTACACGGAATCACGCGCTTGTCTGGGTGAGAGATGATAACACCCAACCACTCAGATGATACAAGTAAAAAGCGCTCTATACATTCTAGTATGACAAATGAATGATGTTCATATTTGTTCTTTTCAGATACGGCGCCGACGAATAGAAAAAAACTGACAATTGCTGTGACACTTACTCGTGGAAATTGGAAGGGAGACTTGGGAATATAATAAGTTGGCGTGATACGTCGCACAGTGTGAGGTCCTTTGTGATCGGATGGTACCAGCTCTCATTCAACGGGAGAAACTTTCGTTATTTTGAGAAGTTCTTTCACATAGACCGGGAATAGCCATTGATGGTACAGCTATACTGGCGCGCGTCTGCTGCTGTGGAATTTAGAAAAAAACCTGGAGCTGCGTCTCACTTGGTCTGCAATCGTGGATATGATATTTGGATTGAGTAGGTGATAGGACTTTTCTTGGACGTCATCATGTGGATGTGCGGAGAGTTCCTCAACCGGACTCCGAGGATGCCCTGGAAACTTATCAGTGTGCTCTTTTTGTGGTTGGCGCTCAAAGGGATTCCGTGCTCAGCAAAGTAAGACTTTCAATTCACAATCTGTTCTCAATTTCTCATATAATCTAGACAAACAGAATGCAGATTTAGCTCTTATATCCAAAAGTCTAATTTTAGAGATCTTTGGAAGAATGAAACCATGGGGGGGGGACCCAAAATCCCAAAGGTGTGCCGTACATTGTTGAACGGCGCGTCTTTGTGAAAGTTTTCGTTTAAATTCACAATTTGGTGAATGGTTGGGGTTTTGGGGTTTTTTTAAGTCACTGAAATGAACGTTGGTTGGATTGATTATTCCTGTAAGGGTTTAGCGGGATGCTGCTTTTTCAGTCTTGCATTATGATTTGTCTCCTCTGTCTGTTATTAGTACGGTTAGTCTCAGTGTTCAGCTGTCTTTGGGACATCGTCCCATGCATAGGATGGTGTCCTGAAGTTGCACCGGAATTCCTATAGGCTATGAACTGGGAAAGTGAAAATGGGTAACCCTTTTTGTAACATTGCATGATTGATTGACGTGCTGGATTCCGTAATTTGTTGCTTATAAAGTAAAACTTATGTACATTACCGGACCCGATTGTTCTTCTTCCAGGAAATGTATTACAACGTTGCGTATCTCTCTCGCAAGCCATCAGCTACGCATACCTTAGGCCTATAAGTTTATTATGTGGAAATAGCGCACGATTCTTTATATTTAACCCCTTCCCCTTAAAAAAAATAATAATAATTCAGCCCTCTTGCCTCCCCCCCCCCCCTGAAAATTTGGTGCTGGATCCGTCTTGTATATTTATACCACAACACAAGTCTAGAGTATTTGGCGAAAAATACAACTTCTCTCATTAGGCCTATGCACTTCTGGCAAACCTATATTCCTAAGCATTGTCATGATGCACACATTATTTTCAATGCATGAAACAAGCTTACGTGAAGGGTACGTGACCTCCAGTATCAAGCCATTAACCAAACACAGCCCGGCATTCAAGTTTGTTTTATAGTTGTGAGTCAGTCAGTCGTAACTGTTGGCTCCACGCTGGGAATTGTATATTTAAAAAAAAAAAAAAGGAATTTCACAAGATAGCTCTGTTGTTGAGTTGGTGTGGGGGTAAAGTTGTGCTTGTTGAATATAGATGTTATATATAATTGGGTAGTTAGGAGAGACACGTGGACACTCATTCTAAATTGGAAGTACGTTTGGAACTGATATTAGGGTTCACAATTTGAGCTGGAGACGGGAACTTTCTTCCAGCAGACCATGTTAGCTTTGACGTCATACCTATCAATCACAATGTCAGACAAAGCTGCTCAAGCATCTTATGTTTCCCCTTCTAAAATAGTACATTGAACCTGCATACTTTTAAACCTGCAACATTTTGAAGTGATATATTATAAGTGGAGCGTAGCGCAGTTTGCAGATTGCTAGGCTTCAAATGAGCACACATTTTCTAAACAAGTATTTGACATGGTTTGTAATTTGAGCCATTCCAAAAAAAATGTGTTCCTTGCCCTACCCGTGATACGCGTGATGCTGCGTTCGTATACATTTGTATTTCTAACTGTTGGACCGTGAACCGCAACTAGTTCACCAACCACAATAGTGGGAATTCGGAGGTGTCTGAGGAATTACTTTGCTATCATCGAATAAAGCTGTCAACAATAATTGTGAACCGATATTGACCAAAATTGGCATACACAATTCCCCAGGGGAATGAATGGCCCATTGTATATTGAATCGTCCCTGGCATGATGATGTCCCAGAAGTACGCGGAAAATGAACGGGTGTTATTTTTTTGCCCCAAGGGAACTACTCTGGATGTTTACTCTTTCCAACAATAGTTGCGGTTGTTCGAATATTATTACTGTTATCGCCATATTTTCAATCAGAGATTGTAAAGGTTGACATGTACTATTTGACAATGCACCTGATGATAGGGGAAGATGATAATGCACTAGTAACATTACTGATGTGCTGCAGACATATTTGGGAAGGGAAGGGAAAGGGACAGGTGATTTTTTGGTCTTGGCAATGTGCGTTTAATTTTATACAAGTAAAATATGGGTCCTGTCCTTCAAATCATTTTGGAAGGTTGACCTCAAAGGTGTCTCTCAGTCTCAGTGGGATGAAGCTCATCATAAAGTTAGGATGTTTTGTTGAATAAATTGTTCATCTGTTTATTAATCAGTGGTTTGTGATGGCGTATAATGTCAAAGAACCCTTGGTAATTACGGATTGAACTTACAGACCCGTTCTGCAACATCAGTACAGCCTTGACTTAACCCACAGCATTTGAGCCTGCGAGTATTCTTGGCTATGTTCCCGCTGCCTGTTATAGCCTACATCCCCGGCCCCTTCACATCCATCCTCGTTGAGAGATGACATTTATGTCAACCCCTTTTTTCCAAAACGTTCGCTGCCTCGATAGCCCCCTTAGCGCCCCTTCTCCATCCTCCCTAGCTGATAAGCCGAGTGTTGCCAAATCGTGTTTAAAATACTCCTATAGTTTCCCTATATTATACAAAATGGTACTATTTTTTTAATACAAATGTCCCAACTGCAGTCCTTTTTCCTGTTGCTTCCAACAGAGGAAATCCCGGTAGGCCCCTCTTTACAAACTCCGTCATAAGCCACGTGGGAGGATATAGGTACACCGTCGTGGATAAGTACGGACGGCCCACGAGCCGATGGCGACCGTCGTCCATGTCCACGACCCGTGGCCAGCCGGGGCCTACGATCACCACCACCGGGGCGAGCTGCCGGTACGGCCGGCGCTTCGGATGCTGCTACGGCTGGAAGCGGGACATCTACGGACGCTGCCAACGTAAGTTGTCACTATTTCCCACTCTATAGGAATGTGTTTTTGAGAAGGGGGAAATGTGAGGAAGTTTCCGGTTGTGTGTGAGTGTGTGACATGTGTGATCTTGGTATAAAGCTGTGTGCAAAGTCAACGTTTCGGGCAGTATGATCTGTTCGTCGTCAGGGGACGGAATAAGCTGTGCTCTAGCCAAGTACATCTCCGATCACAAGTAAGTTACAAGTCAATTGGCAAGTCCAGTCACAAGTGTAACAGGGAATGAACAATAACACGGGAATTCCCTGTCACGGCTCATTTGAACAGTAGTGACTCGAGTATGGGATTCACTTGCTGACATGACATTGACGCGACTGTGATGGACACTTTTGATCCATGGGATGTTTGCCTGAAGACGAACATAACATACTGTCTGAAACGTTGAGTTCACACTGGTTATTCTCAGAACCAACCAAAACTATAAGAAGAGACTTTGTCAAACGGTGTCACCGCGAACCTCTTCTTACTGCTGACTTCATCGTATCAAGTCTAATAACATGGGCTTATATAACTCTCTGTAAAGTACATCTATACTAAACAAACTTAAGAAAGGTTAAAGAACTTTTCTGTATCTATTGTCGCCATCTCAAGACGAAAGGTCAAACTTGTCTTTGGTTTTATTTTCGTCCAGTCAGTGCAGAAATGTGCAATTATGACCTAAAGCATTCCCAAATCGATCTTAAAGTTTTAAATAGGGCCTAACGGTATTGAACATTGACTTGAGAAGGAAACCATTTTGAAATGAGCATTGTAGTCTAAGTTCAAAAGAAAAGCTCCCATGTTGTAAGAGCATTTACGCAAGTTTGATCGAATGGCTCCTTGGCCTTGCATTTGTAGTTGGCACCTCCTTGCCCGTACATACCCGTAACCTTGACTCCGGGGATTTAGCGCCCTGGTCCGGGGGAGACTGAGATCTAAAAGACTGCGGAGGAGATGGGGGCTTTCCGCTCAGGAATCCCCAACTCGGATGGAATGGTCTATGTCAAAGACAAGCCCGTCCTTTCTGGCTGTTGCCCGTACACGTACCAAGACATTGGGGACATCATATCTGTCCATGCATGTAGTGAGTTGGGGTCAGCCGCAAGTCCCGGAGGGGGCGTTTTCCCAGGGAAGGGATCTTGGAAATCGCGTGCCTGCTTGTGGCCGGACTATACCGCGACTACAAATTCTTACGACACGTCGTTGTTCATTTGCCATCAGATTTTGGCATATTGCCTCGGTAAGAAGGTGCTGAATTCTTTGGGTTTACGAAAAATCCGCGGGGACTGGGAGTTTAACTGGATTTTCCACGGTCCGCTTGGCTGTTTGTGTCTACGTATCGATGACTGAGCTCTGAAATGTGATTCGGTGACCCGGGTATTACCCTCATACATACCTTTAATGTTTGTGTGGATGAAATGCACCGTGAAAGCATGAATAAAGTTGTCATACATTGGTTGACATATACGCACCCGGGGCTTTTAGTAGGCCAATTATTGGTCTCATAGAAACTTTCCTTAACACTGCTAACAAACTTATGAAAACATTTTTCACAGATGAACGGGCTTTTTGAACTACATGCAGTCAAGTAAGTTCTTTGACACCAGATAAGATATTAGATTAGATATCCGCATATTAAGGGAAATTGCAGAAAGGAAAAAAATGAAACCATAAAGAAAAAGAGGTTACTTCATTATTTTGACGACCACGAGAAAGTGGATAATGAATGTAATTTCCGCTGTCTGGCATAAAGTACCTCTAAGTTTAAAGCGATTCAGCTGCATTATAATCGAGGTAGACATCGGTTGTTCGATCGATCGAACAACATGAAGTTGAACCGTTCTTCGTAGACGCACCTGCACCGGGAGTGGTGCAGTTTGGCAGGTAAACAACAAAAAGCCAGTGGCTCTACTGAAAAATAAACAGTTTTTCTGCAGCCGAATGGGCTAAACGGGGATCGCATTACGAATAATCAACCAAAAAGCCGAGGAAACTAAATGCCGAGGGCACTTATGGGGAAAAAAGAAAGAAAAAACCTTGTGGATGTAAACAGCCGCGTACTGCGCCAAGCGAGCAGCGTCCTTAGTGACCCCATACCGGGGAATGCCCATAAATTTCCCCCAGCACAAGTTGTCCCTGACGGGTATAGGCCCTGACCGTACCCCTAGCGTGAGGACAGGTGACGGCGAGTCGTTTTGTCATTTTTAAGGAGGCATTTAAGCAGGGACAGGCGCCTTCAAGACAGACCACTGTCACGGACAATCAAACTCGAGTCAGGCAGTGTGGGTTATTTTTTTAATGCCTAAACCACATGTGATATTTGTTTTGAGGAACTTGAAAAAAAATACTCCGGCCATGATGGCGTGACAAGAAACTGTAGACCACCATTGTGTGGGGAGCTTTTGGTCTTTAACCTTAAACCCGATATGATATTGATTTCGTGCCTTATATTGTCGTAAATTACCTCAAAAGTGAAGTGCGCGATTCCGTTTTTAAGCACACACACCGCGTGGGGTACTTTGAATTGTTTTGGGGTGTTGACGTCACATTTGGCAATCCAATTACATGACGTCATTTCTTTTACGGAATGCTACCCCGCTGATGTATATGAAATGATTTAGAGCAGGGAGGTCATGTTCGGCTACTCAACAGCTGTATCTTGGCATAACTTACTGGCGTCGTGGGTATACACTCGTCAATTTGGTTACGCTTGTTAGTTTTGCCTTTTGCCTGTCTTTTCCCCATCTCTAGTGGCCTCTTAAATTCTCCTTTTTTTATATATATTTTGATATTTCAATCAAGATGTATGTTGAACAAAAAAACATGTGACCTCCGGAAACTGTCCGGATGTTTTCCGGAAACCTTTTTTTGTTCAACATAAATTGACCTTATCTTCTCTTCTGACCAGCGCCCATTGAAAAAAAAAACTAAAGACAAAATTGGTAGAGCAGGACGAGAGAGCTCGGTCAGGTGATCGGAGCGAAGTTGCCTTCTCGAGGTCGTTAGCTCAATTCCCACTCATACAAAAATGAACCTAGATAGTTTCCCACTGTGGTTTCAATGAAGAGATAATATTATATTCGATAACAAATACCATGAGTTTTTTAAATTTTAATTATAGTTTCGATCGCAACACATCAAACAAATGTTATTCCCGGTTAAAAGATATGGCATGGTATCAGAACCGTGGAGCTCAGACAATTCGTTCGTTACCCAAACGGAAGCAGACTTCACGCACTCGATCCTTCTGCACAACTGAGCATGTTATTTGCACAACAATGAGACAGACCACGATTATTCTTTTGACAGAAAGACAAATATTGACACAGTCGATAGTCAATTATCTCAGTTTATTTGGGACCCAAACTCACAAGGTCATCCTCAACAGAATTCGTGTAAAATTGTATATTGTGTAGTACGTTTTTGACAAAATGGATGAGTTAGGGCCTTCGCGTTTTGTGATTGAATAGCCTTGCTCGAATGCCATTTTTTTCAAACCGGGGAAGCCTAGGGAAATGCAGTGAGAGTACAAACCTTTTCAAGAGTTTTATTACACCACATTCTTTGGGTTACAAAAGCGAAAACGGTTTACAATGCACCCGACCATTTGAGGGATTTGGGGAGGTTGCCATTTGAAAGCCCTGCCAAGTTTGTGTCCTCCGGCCGGATACGTGCCTGAGTGCCCCATTGCAGGTGCTGTTGTCACTTGCCAATATTTTGACAAATTGCATATTTTTTGGGGGGGAAGGGGGTATTGTTCAATTGGAGAAAGATTTTTGATTGCACCCTATATCAACTTTATTGCAATGGCAGTTTCTCTTATTTTGTGGGGGACTAGTCTTTTTACCTCCTGGTCATAGAAAACGACCCAAGTCAATCATGTGTGGCAGATTGCTGTACTTGGGTATTGAGCTGGCACTATCGCGGGTATAGTGTTTTGCCAACCAATTTCGGGTGGAGAGAGTTTTACCAAAAAAGACAATGTAAGGGTCGCGCGGGTCGCGATAAATTCCGTCAAGATTTACGAGGGGAGCTTAGCATTTTGAGAGTCCTGTTGTGTCCGGCTCCAGAACCCATCAACTTTGGGTGCCGGGGTCATGGGGGAGGGGTGTCATTCGAACGACCCTTCGACATTGGCCCTTTTAAGTTTTAACATTTTCTTTCTATTCTTAATAAAAGTGTTAACATAAAAATGTGATAGGTGAGGTTTCTTCCATGCTGTGATATTGTGTTCTGAGTGACAAACCTCCATTTCAGTCAGTGCCAGTGTAAGGCCTAATGACATTATTTCGACATGCATGTACTCAAATCAAGTAGCATCCCATCTGTTGGGTTATAGTGAGCGCCTTTGCAAAAAAGACATTGCCTTTCTACCGACCCAATTGTTAGTCCGCTTAATCTTTTTTCCATAAAGTGTTTGCCTATAATCTTTTTTTGTTATCTCAACTCAGTCAACTGAGATAAAAAAAAAAAAATTGTCACCTGGGTGTTACTGGTGTTAGTCAAACAAAATTTCGTTACGTAAAACTGATTCAACGTTTTCAAAGTGTATACTATTACGGTAATGTTTATACTGAATATTGGTATACGGAAAATAATTGAGCTAATCCATATCGTTAGTTTAACGGCAAAATTACCATCACCGCTGAAGTCTGTTAGATGTCCTTCACCTTGCTTCATCCCCGTCCTGCTTTTTTGACAAAACAAGCACTTATACTGCCCAGGTAAACTTCCACCCGGTTTGTTAACCTTAACTTGTCGGTCAGATATGCCTTTCTTGATTAATTGTGACCGGTGATTCCGCCCAGAGTGGTCGAAGGGCAGGCAGTGGCTTCATTAGTGAGGGGGTTCTGTCCAGCGAGGAACCGTCCTTAAGTGAAACAGGTGGAGGGACACTTTAATGATAGTTTCCGGAGAAACTTGTGGTGTGTTCACCGGTGGCCCCTCGGTCTGTTGGCCGGAACCTTGTCATTTCGCACGGTCAGCACTGC